AAACTTGATACTCAAGCAGCGACTGAGACTCATATCGGGTTTAGCGAAAATGATCCTACGTTCCGAAAGAGGGTTTGACTTCTAAGCTATGATGCATGGACACAGGTAACAACCAGTATATCCCGTATCTGACACGCAGGGATACGGATACGAATAGGATACGCTTGGATACGAGCCCGATACGTATCGGAATGAAGGGATATGTTGTTTATTGATGAGATACGCGTATCAAACTGTCGAGATACACATATCACACTTTTCGGATACGTTTCCAACTAACTCAGAGGATAATCAGAAGAAAAAAAAAATCAAAAAATCCGCACAGAATCGTGATTGATTCCAATTAGCTAAACTGAAACGATTGTTTGGCTAAAACCCAAAACGATTTTGGGTATAAAATAATGATTTACCTATTTTTCTTCACTCGAACCTTAGAAATCAGACTTGTCGTCTGCAACTGCTCCATCGTCTCCGTCTAACTGCTTCGTCGTCTTCGTCCAACTGCTTCGTCGTCTCCATTGTCTCCGTCTGCAACTGCTAGTTAGAGCTTTCGACTTCATTTTCACTTTGTTAATTTTGAAGCTCAATCTGATTCCCAGAAGCAGAACCCATCTCTGCAACTGAAAGGAAAGCCTATTTTTCTGTTTTTAATTTCGAAGCTAAAAGGCCTTTTGCTTTGACTGATTCAATGACCTTTAGCTTATCTGTTATATAGATTGGAAAAGCCAAAAGCCCCTTTTGCTTTTTGTATATAATATTATTATTGTATTTTATATATTATATTATAATATACTATTGTGCTTTCATGATATTTAGCTCACTGGTCTAGATATTATTGTGCTTTCATGATTTTAGCTTAATCTGTTATGTAAATTTGGAATACAGTGTTCTAGATATTTAGATTATAATATTTTATGTATATGCTTTCATGATGCATTTTTTATTTCTTAAGTTAAAATAAATTTTTCATGTATTAGTCTTTGTCTATACGATTATACGATGAATTGACTTTTATTGTTTATATGTTTGTTAATTTAGGAAAATGAATCACCCTGATATTCATGTGAATGATAATGCTAATCTGGATGAGATTGTTGAAAATTATAATGCTCTGCTGTGCAAGTATGTCAAAAAGCTCGAAAAAGTGGGAAATAGAGGAGGAGGAAATACTAAATTTGAGTGCAATTATTGTCAAAAAAACTTATAAAGGATCCTACTCTAGGGTCAAGTTTCATTTGTTAAAAATGTCTAGAAATGGGATCGCGCCTTGCAACAAGGTTACTGATGAAACTCTTGCGGAAATGAATAAGTTAGTTCGAGAGTGTGAATACAAGTTGAAGAGTTCTGCTCCTAAACATGTTTCGTTGCTCAATACTGGTTCATTCTGTTATGATCTACCTGAAGCAAATCTTGATCCAAAGAAGAGAAAGGGAACAAGTGGGCCTCTCAGTAAAGCTTTTAACAAGGAGGCTCGAGATCAATGTGATGCCGAAGTTGCAAGGATGTTTTATACAGGTGGCTTATCATTTAACCTTGCAAGAAATCCGCACTATCGGAACTCATATGTTCGTGCTTCTACACTTCCAGGGTATGTTCCACTAGGTTACAACGCACTGAGAACTACTCTTCTGCAACAAGAGAAGAGTCACATTAAGCGGTGCCTCCAACCAATCAAGCGCACATGGAGCACTAAAGGTGTAAGTGTTTGCAGTGATGGGTGGACAGATGCTCAAAGGAGACCACTTATTAATATTATGGCAACTTGTGAAAGTGGGCCAATGTTCTTGAGAGCAATTAATTGTGAAGGTGAATACAAAGACAAGCATTGTATTGCCAACTTTCTTACAGAAGCTATTAAAGAAATTGGTCATGAAAATGTTGTTCAAGTGATCACTGATAATGCCCCTGTTTGTAAAGCTGTTGGGTTACTTATTGAGGCCCACTATCCCCATATCTTTTGGACACTCTTTGTTGTTCACACTCTTAATCTTGCTTTGAAGAGTATATGTACTCCGAAACAAACAGAAGTTTCCTATGATGACTGCAATTGGATTTCAACTATTGCTAGTGATGCTTGGTCCATAATTTTTTTTATTATGAACCATAGCATGAGATTGTCCATGTTTAATGAACATTGCAAACTAAAGTTACTTTCCATTGCCGAAACAAGGTTTGTTTTCTCCACTTTTTTTTTCTTTTTTCCTTATTTAATTATAAGTTGTCCTAATTTTTAAATTTTTCAGATTTGCTTCCACACTTGTGATGCTTAGAAGATTTAAGGAAATAAAGGAAGGTTTACAACAAATGGTGATTAGCCCAAATTGGGCTTTGTACAAAGAAGATGATTTGGTTAAAGCAATGATAGTGAAACAAAAGATATTGGATGAGGATTTTTGGGAGAAGATTATATTCTTTTCTTTGCAGCTCCAATATATGAGGTTATTAGAATGGCTGACACAGATAAACCTTGTCTTCACTTGGTGTATGAGTGGTGGGATGCTATGATTGAAAAGGTGAAAGCTGCTATATACAGGAATGAGCGCAAGGCATTACATGACAAAAGCAGCTTTTTTGATGCGGTGTATCGCATTTTATTGGAGCGATGGACTAAAAGTAGCACACCACTTCATTGTTTGGCACATTCATTAAATCCAAGGTAATGATTTTGCTAACTTACTTATAAATTCTTCTAGATTAATTTTTAGCTTTATGAGTACATTTTTAAACTTTTATTTCTTTTATTTTAGGTATTATAGTTCAGAATGGCTCCAAGAAGACCCTAGTCGTCTTGCTCCACACCGAGATGTTGAACTTACAATTGAAAGGAAAAAGTGCTTTGAGAGATACTTTTCCAATGAGGAAATTAGAAGAAATATCAATGTGGAGTATGCCTCTTTCTCTATGTGCTTGAATGACTTTGGAGCTATTGATTCTATGAATGATAGATTTCATTTGGAACCAGTGATGTGGTGGATTGTCCATGGAGCTTCTACACCTAGTCTCCAATCCATAGCATTGAAGCTACTTGGACAACCTTGTTCCTCCTCTTGTTGTGAAAGAAATTGGAGCACTTATAGTTTTATTCACTCTTTAAGAAGGAACAAGATTACACCACAAAGAGCTGAGGATTTGGTATTTGTGCATAATAATCTTCGTCTTTTATCAAGGAATAGCTCAACCTACAAGGAAGGTATTACTCAATTGTGGGATGTTGGAGGAGATGGCTTTGAAAACTTGGGTGAAGAAAGTGTCGGGATGCTTGAAATAGCTAACCTTTCACTTGATGAACCGTCATTGGAGACTACTTTAGTTACTGGAGGAGACATCATGAATGTGGAAGTTGAATGAGACTTCGCTTTTTTTAATTTTCGTTTGGATGTTCATTTTAATTTTTCAAGTTTGAAGACTAATTGCTTGTTGGATGGACTATCTTTCTAATTGTTTGGAGTTTATTGAAATAAATTTAAACTTGAGTAATAAATTTGAATGTTTATTTTATAATATTTTAGATATATTTATTTATTTATATATATTTTTAATTGCCGTATCCTTGACGTATCGTGTCTTCATTTTTAGAAATTTGACTTGTCCCTGTGTCGTATCGTGTCGTATCCCCGTATTCGTGTCCATGTCCATGCATCCTAGCTTCTAAGGCAAAGGGAGATTGGGTTATGCATGAGTTTCGACTTGACAAGCGCTTTCTGGACAAGAATAACAAAGTAATTAAGTAATATTAAATACATGCTTAATTTTCAGTCTTAAATATACTATATGATTTCTTGTAGTCTTACTTATTTCTTCTTGATTTAATTCCCAGACTTATCCTTCTTGTGCATTGTCATTGTTTATCTTCTTTTTGTTTTTAAAAATCCTTGTCATGCATGTTCAACATTGAGTGATTTGGTTTTGCTGTGGCTATCTTCGATAAATTTGGGTTCCATCTTTCGTCTTAATTAGTTTCTGTTTTAACAGGGTTTATTTATTTTTAATACTACTTATGAACGCTGTACGTAATTTTTTTATCAGGGTTTTCATGAATTAGAATCACCGTTGAATAACTTTGTTCTTCTTCGCATGAATTAATATATACATATATATACACACATATACATAGACCACTTAGCAATCTTGGTTCTTAAAACTTATTTGTTAATTAAAAATCCAAGAGGCTATCCGCCTCTTAGAAAGATTTCAACTATTGCTAACTATAACTGCTAAATATCCTTAGATCCAAAGTTCAAAAGAATAATTTACGATCTAAATTCTTCATATTTATAATCTTAATGAATCAAGTTATCTTTCAAAAAGTTTCTCAACTGAATATTGATTAATTTATTTGTATTTTCTCCATAACCAGTGGATTAAGAACTATTTCAATCATTCTTTGGGTGGCAATGAGGGGGATTAATTGTGGGGGATCGATTCAAATGCTTTATTATATGTTGATTAAAGTAAAAAACAGTTCCCTAATCTTGTACGTGCGTTTCATGTTTGCAGGCAAACTATGTTCTTTGTCGTGTAATAAATAAACAAAAGTTACAACCATGGAGGCAGCCGAGACTGATCAGAGGGAATGTCAACCAGGAGATCAAATCCAATATTGTCAGTGAAGTACTATACCATGAGGAGCAGAACGATGGTGAGGAGGAGGTGGATGGTAGCAGTGAAATCTTAAAGCTTTTAGACCAAGACTAGGGCACTAATGATCAGCAGAACTATGGTATTTACAATTTCAAGCGACTAAAGTTGAAAATTTTGTGAAACAGAACACGTCATTTTTGTTAATTATTTTTCAGCGGGAATTGGCCTAGTACCCCTGCTTGTTTTACCTTTTTTTATTTATTTATTTAATTTTCTTTTAATATTATTAGTTGGGAGAGAGTTGGTGCCTCGCATATGATTGTTGACAAAGAGCTAATCTCGCCTTATCCTTCTCTGAAAAAAAATTAACTGAATGAGATAAGCACAATTGAATTATATATGTGAACATATTTCAAGAGTATTTTAGTCAAAGAATTTGAATTACTAGCTACCACCTATTTCTCTCGAATATTTTTAAAATTCCAGGTAGGAAAAAAAAAAAAAAAAAAAAAGATAGAGAGTAGCCGGAAACTGGGGGGATAAAACCCAATTTCTAGGACCGAAATGTTCTTCAAAAAGTCATAAAGCGCCTGACATATGACTCTTTATGCCAACTTTTGTAACTGATACCACTATTTTTCTCTTTGATTTTAAAAGTTAATAAATCAATTTGGAAAAAAATAATAATAAAAAAGGGGTTAGGGATTAAAACCATAAAACGCCACCAAAATGTACAAACCTCAATGCCAAACACAATGTTTATTTTTGTTTTCGTTACGACATCAACATTATTGGACCATCTTGTTCCCATTTGTGAAAACAAAGAAAACTAATGCAACAGAGTCTGGTACACGCTTTGCGTCTATCTGTCCCCTCATTTGATGTGTAATATTAAGAAAGAAATACCGACAAAGAAGCATACAACTCACTGCACCAAAGTCTCTCTCCATTTTTTTAGGCTGAAGCAAACCTATCAAACCACATGAGAAATGCAAGAGCAGCATCTCTTGCCTTCTCTGGTGGGGGAGTTGTTGGGATCAGTGTCTCGTACTCAACTTGCCATTTTGCAATGCACATCTCTTCGTCTTTTCCTTTTTCTTGGGCAGGAAGGAATGAGAAGGTGACAATGTATGGATCGTACATTTTCTGCAGTTCACCTCCGATGACGCAGTAGGTCACAGACCAACCGTTCTCTACCTTCTCTATCTTCTCCACTGATTCCTTTACATAGTTGCGCACAGCTACATGTTTAAGACATGAATATTACCGTAAGTTATTGCTGTGGTCTCACACATGAATCGTAAAAGTGTTTTATGACAACAGAAAATGTTTTTTTATTACGTTGAACAGAAAAACTTAATAGCACTTATGGATCTTAAATTAAATTGAAAACATGTGTTGTGTTATTCTTCACATGAAGCACTTTCAAGTTCTTTCGTATGGAACCCATCCAAGTTCTTTGTCACCAAGCACTTGAATTTTTAACAAAATTTTCTACAAGTTATAATAACAGAACTTTTAGCAAAATAACTTATGAGCAGAACTGTTTCTTATTAAATCATAAACGAGCCCTAACTCGCTAATAGGTTATCAATATAATATTTACATGCTATTCAAGTTATTTACTTTAGTGACGATAGCCAGCTCTACCGTATATCATCCATATTTTTCTCTTTTCTTATCAATAAAACAGGAGATTCGACCTTTAAACCTCTTCGAACATTGGGAAAGAAGAGAAGAGAGGCTAGAGAGGTACCAGAACCGAGTTTGAAGAGTATGAAACTTCCCGGGTGACCGTCGCCTTCAGGGCGTGTTTACGTGTCCGTAATTGGAATCAAAAGTCGGAGTGTGATTTCAATTATGAGTTATTCTTGTGTTTACTAAAATTTGAAGGAATCAAAATGGGTGGGGTCCACTCGAAAGATAGGAATTGAATTCCGAATTTTGGAGGAATTGAACTCCTGAGTAGGAGGTGTCATTTGAGTTCCGGGACAAAGGGGGAATCCGGAATACAAGTTTCTACCCATTATAACACCATCTAATTCCTGAAAAACTCCAAATCTGCCACTCAAATCAACAAGCCCAGACCTCTCTGCCTGCCTCCCTTTCACCTCCCTGTGCCTAGGGAACCAATCTCAAGAATCCTAGGGTGTCTTCAGATATCGTAGTGAGCTAGTTGTTCTTTGGTTGTGGCATCGTGGTTGTGTGGGGATGGAGGTGCGACGCGCAAGACAGATCAATGGATGCAAAGGAAATGATGATGAAGGATCCACAGAAAATAAAATGGAGGAGGAGGGAGAGAGTGGTGGCGGTAGTCGCTGGTGAGGACTGGCGAAGGATACTGGGGAGAAGAGAAATGACTTTAAAAATTAAGTTTCAAAAGGTAGAAAACTTGGGCTGCTGGCTTGGGAAGTTATGGGGTGGGTATAAAAAAATTAGGTTTGAAAGGGTCAAAATAAAAATGTTAAAAAATTAGTTTATAAAGAGATAGAAAATTCAATCATTTATGGGTTAAGATTGTATGAAAATTAAATTATACTAATTATCACATAAAATAATTCATTTAGACCAAGGGCAGTTTAGTAATCAAATGATTTTGATTCCAATTCAGAAGTGAATTGGTAAACAACTTATATGAAACCAACATCATTCCTATTCTGTTTTTTGACAATTTAGTAAACACATTTCATAGGTATCTAATTTTGATTCCTTCCCAATTCAATTCCACATCAATTCAATTCCTCCTCAATTCAATTCCCCCTATTTTAATTATGTATTAGTAAACGAACCCTCAATGTATTCAGCACTTGTAAGCATTTCAGGGTTTATTTTGCTAATGATCTCATTGTCTCTGTACATTTCCCATGCTTTCTCTGCAGGGATATTGAGTTTTACCTCTCCTTCCATGCTTATCATCTCCTCTTCCTCTCTCTCTCTCTCTCTCTCTCTCTCTCTCTCTCTCTCTGTCTCTGTCTCTGTGAAGTGTGAAACATGCATACTCGCAACACACATCCGATACTTATATGTACACACATCTATATAATACAAATGAATTTGAAGTGTAATATTTATGTCCAATATCTATAAAGGAATATGCTCGGGAGACCATATTTTTGCAAATACCACATCTTTGATGTATTATCTCATTTGGCAAGTGATGTGTACATACCATGTCAATTAAGAAATTTATCTGATTAAATGTTGATTGTATGAATTATTTGTCACATAAAATGGTACACAAATACAATATACATATGTGATCTCTAGCATTACTCATCTATAAAATACAACTTAGGGGGAATCCACAGGAGTTAATTCAGCCATTAAAAGTTGATGCCAGTCTCTCAAATCACACATTAACATGCATATATATACTTTCAAAGGGCAAGATAATTCATAGATGAGAGGTCCACTAGGTTAGCTCCTATAAAAAGTAGACGCCAGTCTCTCTATATCTTCGTATGTAATGTAATATTTGATGTCATATGCTTTGTGACTTGGTAAATAAAACAAGATTCGTTAATTTACTAATGGAGCGACAATATGCTCCCACACTAATGCTAATGTTCAACTAATTAATGGTTTGACGTCCTCGTTCCAGAGATTAAAATATTGTTTCGTTGTGCGGCTTGGTTATGAGAGATTTTTTCATGTGACTAGAACATGAGTCGGTACATCATATGTCAAAATGTATGTGGAGAGAATTTCTTTTACAAGTGTTTCTCCATTTTTATTATGACACGTGGTGTACTGGCCCGTATTCTTAGTACACTAAAAAACTCTTCTTGGTTAGGCCTCGAGTAGACTTGGAATCAGTGTTCTAAAAAACGTCCTAGGTGGCGCCTAGACGTTGGGCGTAGGTGTGCCGATCCGATTAGGTCCAAATCGTTAAGAAAAATCAGGGAGCTGTTAGGCGTCCGCCTAGGCGCTCTTAGGCGGCCTGAGCGGTCTAGGCGGCAGTCTAGAAGGAGTGAAATGGTTTCCTAGGAAGAAATTCCAAACACATACTTAGAATCGTAAAAGCTTTCTCGCCGCTTCGACTCCCTCTCTTTGTGCACCACGACCTTCTTAGCTTTTGCGACTCCCTCTCTGAAATCAACCGAAGAAGAGGAACTTAAAAGCGCAAAACAGAAAAAGAGGAAAAAAAGAAGGGAGAATTTACAGAAGGAAAACGAAAAAAAAAAAAAAAAAAAAAGAACTGAGGAAGAGGTAACAGAAAGATAATGAAGACGATGAAGAAAAATGAAAGAATAAAAAAGAAGAAAAGTTTTCAGTTTTGTCAAAATAGTCTGGGAGCCTCTAAGCTGATTTGAAGGATGGAAAGAATAAAAAAAAAAGAAAAGTTTCCGGTTTTGTCAAAATGGTTTGGGAGTCTCTAGGCTGATTTGAGTGATGGGACTATGGGTGGAAGGGAGGGGTCACGTGTGGTGTGCTTTATGAAATGGTGAAGGAAGGATGCATGCACCTCTCCATAATTGTCTTTTTATGATTTCTGACCTCAACAAACTAAACTTTCAGACCGGTTTTTGGTGGGTTTTTACTTTTATGTTTCAAAAATAAGATATAACCATTTAAAATGTCTTAAGTTATATAGCATATATGTTTAATGTGTTTTTAAATTTTGAACACTTGTTGGATACTATTTTTGTATTTTATCATTCTTTTATTATCTTATTCATGGATTTCATACAAGTATAATTTTTTATGTGTACTTATTTACGAGATATACAAGAAATTTACCTAAATCCGCCTAGGCTGCCTAGGCGCTTGCCTAGATCCCGCCTAGCCGCCTAGGCACTAGGCGCTAACCCACCGCCCGACTAGCGCCTAACGTTTTTTAAAACCTTGTTTGGAAACGGATCAACTTTGATCTGTTTATAATCAAATCAGTGAATCCGGATCGTATTCAAATCATGGGATCAAACTTGTCAATCCATAAGTATCAAATTCAGATCGGATCCTTATCATCTAATTTAAGGCTAAAACAGATTAAAGTATAATTAGTAACTTCATAGTTAAGGTTTTAGAAGCAAGGCAGCTTCCCTTTCCAAATGTTTGCTAGCAAAGAGTAACAAATTGCCCAATTTGTAAAGAACATTTTCAAGAGTTGAATTACGCTTGCTTTATAGCTTATAAGAGTTGGTAATGCTTGAACTGACCAACCATGGACCATTCTTCCTTCTGTTTTATTTTCCTTCCAATTTCTTTTTTCAAATGAGTCCCCAGGCGGACCAAAGTGTGAAATGGACTGCAGAAAACCTTAACATGCATGCGCCGCACGTTAAAGATCTTTTTTCGGTTAAGAACAAAAAGTTTTACAGAAAACCTTAAACTACATGTAAGACGCCAAAGATCGTTGGCTGGTTCAGTCATTACAAATTTACATTACGTCTTAAAAACTAACGGGATGTAGTCAATTTGGATTTCAAAGTTTTAATAGATTTTTTTTAAGTGACAAATTTCAAGGGATTTTAATAGATTCAACAAGTCTATACAGATTTTGGTAGATTTATATGAATTTCTATATTATAGATTTGTATGGATTTCTTAAGATTTATGTAGACTTTTTTCATGAATTTTTATCAAAGTTACAAGTGGCTAATACATTTCTTCCCAATTTGTTCTTCCACCATTTCAAATTATAAGTTATACATATCAACCCAAAATCTAAGCAACATCAAATTCATGTAAAAAATTGCCGCAACATTACAAATATTATACAAAAACCAATTAAAACCAACATGAACTTCATTAGACAAAAAAGAGGAGCAAAAAAACCCAACTGATTCATCAGATACTTCTTTGAAGCATTTAATCAAACAACCTACGGGCCAAATTTGCGTAACCCTAACTCACCAAACCAGCAAAGGAAATTCCCCAAAAACAATGTCTTTCCATTTTCTAATCAAACAAAAACAAACATAATTGGCAAATTCACGAATTGAATCAAATCCAAACGAAAAACCCAATATTTTTTTCAATTGCATGCGTCTAACCCACCCAAAAATTGTTACAATTTTGGTAAATTCAAATTTTTCCTACACCCCAAAAAATTCAAAATTTCTCTCCTATTAAAGAAAAAGATTGTCTTGGTAAACAAAACAAACATATTCCAAAAGAATAATCAAAGTAGAAACTATGAAGAAAGAGTGAACTGAAAAATCAAGAGGGTAAGAACATGCCTAGGCTGTGAATATATGCAACCTTCCTCCTCTAAAAAGACTTTCAGAAAAATACATCCCAAAACGAACTCTGAAGAAAACAAACCCTAATTCGACAAAAGATTGACATGCAAACAGAAGAAAGAAGGAGAAGGCAAACCTAGTTATGTCTTTGGTGGAAGACAGTACCACGAAAAGAAATCAGAGGTGTAATGGCTGGATTCTTGATGGCATTTGGCATTTATATACTAGGGGTGGGCAAACAGGTCTTGGATCTGCGGGTAGGGACGGGTACAGGCGAGTACGGGGTGGGTCTAGTGTTTTAAAATATGAAATGGGGCGGATCGAATTGGGTTCATGTTAGTTGCGGGGCAAGGCGGGTCTAAATTGCTAAGAAAACGAGCCCCTGGCCCGAACCGTATACCTCGTCCAATATCTGGAGATTTGATCTCCTAGTCATCTGCAGATGTTTTCTCAGTCTCTGGAAGACTCGTTCCTCTCCAGACTAACCTTCCTCCCTCTCAACTCTCAAACATCTTAACTTTGGACTCTCATCCATCTTGATCTCTCTCTCCCAGATTGACTCTCAGTCTCGTCCCCGTTAGGGGATCCAGATCCTTATATAAACGAGGGATAAAAGTGGCGGCTCTGGTTGTGTCTCTTTGCTCCTTCCTTTGTCCCTGTTTTCGTATTCCCAAGCCCTCATCGCATCTTTTTCTTCGGTAATCTCTGTACAGTGCATTTCAATCAATGGCTGCGAATCACTGGTTGAAGCCCGAGGTAAACGCAGATCTACCTATAATACTTGATCTTTTCCTTTCGTTTTGTGCCAGATCGGCTTTGATTCTATTGGCTCGGCTTTCAATTCGGCGTCGTATTGTATGCATGTAGGTTTATCCATTGTTCGCTGCCACAAGGGTCACCGTAGGGATCTGTGGGTTAAATCTGTACCGCCATATCACCATCAACCCTGAATGAGGTCCCTCCCACCCACCACCTGATCACCATCTCCGTATATCGAGGTCCCTGCCACACACCACCTGACCACCATCTTCGTCGAATGAGTTCATCGACGCCAAGAACTTGAGTTTGTTGAGCCCCTTGTTGCGATTATGCTTCCAATTTTCAAAAAACCCAAATTGGTTTTGATTTGGGTTTCCCAATGGTTTTGTAGGGGAATTTAATTTAGGTTTTTCTGGGTTTTTTAGGGGTTTGGGAAAATTTTGTGATATGGGTTTTGCAGGTATTTTTTTCTTTCCTAAGTAGTTCATCGACCATGAATTAGAAATCATGTAATTTACTGGTTTTTGTTGAATTTGTAACAGAAATTTTACATGATGGACGTAACTTGCTCTTTGGTTCTACAAGCTTCTTCCTTTTTGATCGGCAACGGAACTACTCCTCATTCTGCTTCAATGTTAGTATGCCCATAACTGGAAAAAGAAAAAAAAATGTTATTGGACCTGTGGACCTTCCTGAACCGGCCCGTTTGATACGGGTCGGGTTAGGTCCGGTTCCCAAACTTAAATCCCTATACCTGACCCGACTCGCCCCGTTACATTTTAAAATGGGTAGGTCCAGTTCTTCCAAATTTGGGCCCGCCCCGTGCCCAGCCCTAATTTATACCACCACCCTCAAATCCATCAAAATCCCTCTCCCATTAAAATCCTAGCAAATCTTTGGAATTCTCACTACCTTCAGAATTGTGTGGACTTTTTTAAAATCTTAATCGACTACCCTTAAATTTGGATATATTCTTTAAAATCATCTTAAATCCTAATTTGACTACAATATGATTTCAAAGTCTTAAAATCCTCTTTCAAAATCATGATTGACTATCCCTAGATTTTAAAATCTATTAAAATCCTACGTAATCCTAATTTGACTACACCCTCCTTAATGGACTTGAGTTTTTCAATCCCCTCGAAAGGACTAGGAATAAAAATAGGGAAAGAACCATAAATAAGACACTTTCTTAATCTTGGAACAAAAATAGGATTTTTCGAATATGCATATGCCATGCACAATAATCAGACAGAAATATGATTTTTCTTTACACTTTAAAATGACTTAATTGCCCTCGTATATAAATGGGTTATTTCCTCCCATTTTCTTAATTTTTCTCTCTCTACTCTCTTTCTCCCTCCTCTATTCTCTCACTTTCTCCCTCACGCACTCTCTCTCCTACTCTCATTGTGCACACACAGTGCACAATCATCCTGACCAACACCGTCTAAAACGAAGCCACCACCAATTTCATCTCGTCCTCACCAGTCAAAAACACTTAGCCTTGTCACAAATCTCATTCCCGATCGTTGGGATCGAAACTCAAGTAGGCTGTGAGTTTTCTGGCCATTTTCTGACAACATGACAAACAATCAAGGCTTGAGAGTTTTCTGGACATTTTCCAACAACATGACAAACAATCGAGGCTCGAGACCATCACCACTGGACTCACATCGAGGGTGGGAACAAAGCCCAGTCATTAAATGATGGTGCACACACGGTGCTTCCTGGAAACAAAGCTCTCTCTCTCTCTCTCTCTCTCTCTCTCTCTCTCTCTCTATGAACATCCTGAACATGGGTGGTCAACACCACCCAAACAAGAAAACTCATTTGTCATTGACCAAAAATAAGAAAACCCAATTTGTTATTGACCAAAAAATAAGAAAACTCATTTGTTGTTTGCTCTCTTCCTTCCAATATTTGCAGATTAGTGGGATTAAAGAAGTGAGCGTTTTCATATTTGGGGAAGGGAAATAAACCCAAGAGTTGTATGAAGTAATAGTGAAACAAAATTTAATCAATTTCTCCCTCTTCTATATCATGGGATTCCTTACCTTGTTTGAATATTGTGATGGTGTTTACTAAAAATTGGCAATTTGTGTTTTGTTAGATGAATTTTTCAGGATATGCTCATTGTATGTACATAACATGCACATGATATGCTCATAGATCTGAGCCAACCCAAAAATCCAGAGCTCACAGCTCTCTCTTTGAAATCAGAAAAATGACGTCATCACCAGTGACGTCACAACCATATACAATATATGCACACCACATGTACATCATATGTATAATACATGCACATGATATGGACATAATTGGAGATCGAGCAACGAGCTGCTTTTCGCATTAATAAGAAACTTTAATGGCAACCTATTGGTATAGTGGATACAATTAAAACATAATTGTAGCATATATAAGATTACAATGGCAGTTTGAAAAGTCTTGTTACGTATATCAATCACCGCTTAACCATGCACGTGGAAAACATGATATTCGTCGTTATTTCATGGACACCCATGACGCTTGACGTCCTCTAAGCTTGGCGAACTAGGTTGTGGTCATACTCGCTAAATTCCGGGCACAACATACGTACACCATCACTAGTGAACATTCTCGCTTCTCTTATTAAGATGTAATCATGCACATTGGATGCACACCACATGAACCAGAAATTGTTTCATCCCAGTTTTGTAGCATTTTAAAACTTGGAATTTATTCCACTAACCCATAGGCCCCAACATGAAACACAAATCCTAATTTAACTTTCAAATATTAATTCATCTTACAAACAACCCATTTATTCCACAAATCGTTGATGAAGAAACATGACGCTAAACACCCTACCTTGTTATGCTTGCCAAAGCTTCAGTCGCCGAAAAAATGAAACTTTCCAACCAAAACAAAAAATACGGTACAAAACCCAACTCACTCTTCTCACCTTTCTCTCGCATCCTTTTGTTCAAAATCAGAGGTATGAGGTGAACCCAAAACCCAGCTAGCTCATACTCACCTCTCTTCGGACTTCCCTCTCTTTGAAATCAAAGCTAAGAGATATGAGCTCAACCCAGAAACCCAGAGCTCACAAAGCTCTCTCGACATTCCCTCTCTTCCAAATAAGAAAAGTGATGCAATGGACTGATGATTTTTTATGTGAGTATTTTAGTTTTCGGTTTTGTGCATAGTGTGCATGGCTTATGCATGGCCGATTTGTTCTATTTCTGTTGCAAGATTAAGAAAATGTCATGTACATACAGGAGATGCCATTGTGGTTTTGTTTGTACAATCAACTAACAATACAAATACGATGAAAACGAGCGTATCATCAGTAGCAAAAACTGTAATGAAAGAACAAAATTATTTACCAGAAACAGATACATGGTAAAATCACTGATTGATCGAACCTCTACGGCCAAAATATAGTGCATGAGCAACAAACAACTATGTAATCGAATCCAGCAATGTCTCACTTCCAAAATGATTTGAATTTAAGCACAGCTGGAGAATCTGAACACAAAGGCAGCTCGCCTCTTGTTGATATTACTTTGCACCGTTTTCTTGCTCCACAAAGACAATCTGCCAAGAAGCACATAAATGTAAATGGTTAATTACCCCCTACCATCATATGCCACATTCCCTCAAATTTTCCTTCCCTAAAAGTCACATACTGGTCATTTAACGTTAATTTTTACTATAGACGGAGTGCCTGCCAGACACAACGTCCAAAAAGTGCCGAGAGACATGCATCATAAAAAATCTAACACAACTCGACCAAGGAAATTACTTTAGCAGAGGTCAAGGGTTGTAACAAGTCCTTTCAAAACTCAATAGTCTACGAAAAGCAAAAAGGGTTGTTCGTTAGATAGGCACCAAATACGGATAACAATCTCAACTCACAACAATGACTCCCACCACTGAATAGGATGGTGTTTTCCATAAAGGCGAGAAAGGGAGAAGACTATTGAAGAACAGGAGAAGAAGGGTCCTTGTGGGAAGATGAAGACTTGGTTGAACAATGTGAGAAGGAAGCTCAGCCACAATCAGAAAACCAACAAGGCATTCTGCATTAAGTTAGTTACCGGGGGACGCACAGTCGAGAAAGCAGAGGACAGGTGGTAGCATAATGGCTGGATGCATGGCAAAGATGACAAGAACCAAAGGGTACACTGCCTAGAACACCAGGAGCAACTGAACCAGAACCAGTGATTACAGTGGGTAGAGTCTCATCTGAAGACCTATAGGTAACAACTTGAGCATCCATTCACTAAAAACAACTTCCTTGCAGCAGTGTGAATTATGAGTTGTGGCTTAGGGTTTACTAGCACCCATCACACCAATGAGTGAGCTTTGTGAGTTTAAAGAGGCTTAGGGGTTTACTTGAGTGTTTTAGGGTGAAGAAAATGTGTGCCAATAGGGTTTAGGTATTGGTGAGGTGTATAAAGAAGAGCAAGTAAAAATTTTTTCTTTTTCTATAACCTTTGTTATTATTACTCATTTGTTTTATGAACCAATAAATTTGACAGTAACTCAAAGAAAAAGGGAAACAAACTTGACATTCAGAAGAGTTTTGGTGCTGTATGAACAGAAGCGCAAAATATAATTATTGATCCGGATATTGTGCATTCATATTTAAAAGTTAGATACTTAAAACGAAATTTTGAAGGAATTAAATATTTGCAGTTAACTAAGGTAAGAGCAAATAACAAAAATAATAACAATTATAATATAGTAATAATAGTTTTTTTTTTACCTTGATGAAAAGGAAGGAATCTCTATGCTGTATTGGAGGGTTGTGTCTGAGTTAGCTCTGAACTCAGCATATGGTGAAGAAGAACATCAATTCTCTGGCTCTGAGTTTTGGAGCTGCACAAAACCCAAGATTTGAGTTTAGGCTATCTAAACACTTTAAAAATAGGGTACCAACTTGACGCATCCACAAATTTTTAGAAATACTTACCCCAAAGATCGACGTCGATCTTTTGCTCCTCCCTCCTAAATTAATAAAACAGGATACAACTTAATCATTCGGTAACACTGAATTGTTAGTGGTCAGATGCCTATTTTACATGACGCATGATAACTATAATTTTCAGGGATGGCATGAGATAAAATATTTTAATGCTCCAAATACATTAATGAAAAACTCCGTACAAAAACCAAATCATGTAAAAAAAACTACTTTTGCTGGTACTTAATAGAGTGCATCAAAATAAATTAACCAGCTGTCAAATTATCCATTTCATGCACGAACAATATTGGGAAACATCAACATTTTAAACAACACAGTGGTGGTATTAATTGGTTTTTATTTGAAAATGTACATTTGATATGCGTGCACAAGGAGTCCCCACAGCAGGAATTAAGGGCAGCCCGAATCATATGAATAATAATACCAACCCCCATAAAATTTTCAAAGTACCCTTAATCCTGCTTTTGTATGCTAAAAAAAATTGATTTTCAAATTTCAGAGTTACATGAAGACAAAGATACCACTCTCTTCCCTGTTAATTCCTATAAAAAGTGAAATTTTTTCATGAATTGGTGCCGAAGTTGAAAATTTTCTTTTCAACTTGGAGAA